AAACTGTGTGTGTCACCCTCGCAACTCTGCAACTCAGAACTGTGTTGGTAGCTCAGGGACTAGTGCCCTCCTGATCTCTGTTCTCATAATTGCCCTCTTTGAAGCTTCATAATTTTCCCATGGATCAAAATTATCCCTTCTTTGTGTCATCAGCATCTCCCTTCCTTCAAAGCTGCTAAAGAGTAGATGGTCTTTGAATTGCTTTTATTTATTTTATTTTATTTATTTTTTTTTTAAGATTTTTATTGGGGAACTGGGGGGATGGGAACAGTGCTGGGGAATTGGGGGAAGGGGAACAGACAAGTTGCTGTCATTTTGTTCTTCAATCTAGTTGTGGAGGATGTTGCTTCACTGGCCCAAGTTGGCACCATCATTGCGCTCTTCTCTGGCAAGGCAGATCAGTCACCGGCTTCTGGACGGCCGCTCACTGTGGCTGCTGGCCGCTCACGCTGGCTGCTGGCTACACACGGTAGCCCATGGCAATCCACTGCCACAGGGACTGCAGTCCACGCCATCGCCGGCGACTCATGGCAGGCCAGCTCCAGGTTTAGCTGTTGTTCAGCATCTTAGCTGTAGAGGGCAGTGTCACTGGCCCTCATATGTGGGATCCGAACCGGGGCCCTCTGGCGTCCCAAGCAAGTTCTTAACCATCGCGCCACTCGGCCGGCCCTGAATTGCTTTTAAATAAAGACTTTGTCTCATTTATCTCTGAATCCGTAGCAGCTACCTAAGTTTTATTATATATCAGATGCCCAAGGAATGATTAACCAAAAAAAAAAAAAAAGGGGAAGGAAAGGGGGAAAAGGCAGTAGAGAGTTATAATGTTTCTCCCTGAGACGTGAAGAACACATTGCACAAAGTTCTCTAGTATGCTGACAGCTTAAAAGAGTCGAACTAATTTACATAAATGAAACTCTTATTTCATATTTCTCCCTTGAAAATGTTGGAAACATTATACTTTACTTCTGTTATTATAGTGATCACCCTAAAATATAAAAAAGCATATTTATCTTAATATCAGATAATAAAACATTTTCCACTCCTCTCAATTATTATAAGAGTTTTGAATACCTCAACTCAGGCCACACCTTCTCATCTTGAAAGCTACTGTTTTCCAGTAGTATTTTAACTCACTTTCATCTTTCTTACCCCACAAATTCGATATTGTTATTGATGCTTAACATGCTCAATGGCTTTTTAGATGTACCTACATATTTGCCATTTTCTTGGCTCAACTTTCCTTCATCTCAGATCTTCCTTTTGAAATTATTTTGCTTCTTTTTGAAGTAAATCTTCCAGAAAGTTCTTTAACAAGCAATTGTTATGCACTGTTCTTGAGAGTTTTACATTCATAGGATTCTCAGTTAACAATTTTAGCTCAACTCTTTAAAAGTTGTTTTACAATATCTTCTGGCTCCTATTGTTGCTATTTAGAAATTAATTATCATATATGTGTGTGTGTGTGTGTGTGTAATTATTATGCAGCTTTAAAGATCTTCACTTGTCTTTGAGGTTCTGCAGTTTCACTAGAACGTATCTCAGTGTGGATTTATTTTTAAAGATTCTTCTAGGGATTCACTAAGCCTCTAGAATTTGAGCTTCACACCCTTCACCATTTTTTGGATAATCCTAGCTATTATTTCTACCACATACTGTCTCTCTCTCATTCTTTCTAGTCTCCCTCTGGGATTCCAATTAGACATATATTCTGCCCTCTTTATCTTACATATCATGTATCTCTCTTTCGTATTTTCCAACCGTACATCACTATTCTAAAGGGTATGTTACAGCTCATTATTTCTTTCCTTATCAAGTCAAATCTGCTGTGTAAATAGTCATTTGGGTTTCTCACAAATGATTATATGTTTCATTTCCAGAAGCTCTTCTTGTTCTTATTTTAAATCTAATTGGTTATTTTTGGTAGACTATTGTCCTTTATATACTATTGATAGTATCCTGCATCTCCTTTAAAAATATTAAATTTTCATACTACATTAGGCATCTGATAAACTCCAATACCCACAGTCTCTCTTGGTCTGATTCTGCAGACTGATATTTTTACTGGTTCTTGCTCATGGTTCTGCATATATTTTATGATTTTTATGATCTGCTCATAGACATAGAAATTTTATCTGTTTGATTTCATTGAGGCTGAGTTTATAATAAAATTCCTTCTGAGAAATTTGCTTTTGATTTTGCTTGGGGACTAGGAACACCCAAAGCTTGAGAGCACTTTAGTTTTCAGCCAAAGGTTTTTGAATCCATAATAGCATGGACTTGGGTGAAAATAACTATGTGAGGGCGGACCTCGTGGAGACTGCTCAAGAGAAATATTTTCTCCTGCTCTACATAGAGCCAAGGCACAGGCAGGCAAGAATGCCTACCTCACCCTGCAGGAGGCAAGGGGTTTCCTGTCCACCCACTTAGGTTATGAAGGATCTAGCTCTGTGGCCCAACCTTCCACCTTGTACAAATCCCAAGATTGTTTGCCCATATTTTTTCACAGCTCATTAGAGTGAATCTGCCTCTTGCTCTTCAGATCCATGTCTCCTTGCTATTTCTACAATAATTTCCCTTATTTTCCTAGAATCTCATCTAAGTATTAATTTTCAAAATTTTTTCTAGGACTTGTAGATGTTCTTCACAAGAAGGGTTACTCCAGACATCTGTTACACAATGTTATCAGAAATAGAAGTCCCTGAATCTCTAAATAGTGATATTTCTGACACTTCTGCACAGTATCAGCCAGTGTTAAAGGAATTGTTCTCACTGAACTAAAATATCATCAACCAGGCACTGTTTTCTCTGAACACAGTGGAGCACAGCATTGAGGAGATGATAAACAGACAGGTGGGTAGATAGATAATGGATAGATAGATAGATAGATAGATAAATAGATAGATAGATAGATAGATATAGACAGACAGACAGACAGATAGATATATAGTACTTTCTTCATTTTTTCTCTAACAATTAGAACTTGTTTCTCTGCCATGAAAAAAGAGAGAAAAAGTGCTATGCTATTTCAGAAACAGAAATCGTATATTTAACAGAGTCCTTCCACAATATAAAGCTGAGAAATCATTTCTTACTAATATTTCATCACTTTTTAACACAAATTCTCCTCACACAAATTTTCTTCATGTAGAAGGTACATTAATAGTAATCAGAATGCAGCCCAATACTAGTATTTATATACTAAATGATAAGAAAATGTGCATTGTTATCTCCAAATAGACTATGGCTTTGTTTTCATTTGTCAAGATGCAAATTCCACCATCCCATTGGATTTATTGTGTGCATTAAACAGCATTTACCAAAGTTTTTTTGTGATTTTGTTTTTGTTTTTACCTTTGGAAAACTTCTGAGAAGGGAAACATGCTATATAAATAATATTATCATCATTCAACAAGGATAAAATAAAGCTGCTTTGCTCCATTTTGTATGTTACGTTTTTTTGTGGGGTTTTTTGTCTTTTTTTTCTGGAAGATTATCTGGGCCTGCCACTTGCTTCCTCAGCACAATTGAACACATAATTACTATGTAAATTTGGATTTCCACATGCTTCCAGAGGAACATAGACCATTTGGAGATTTCAAAGCATTAATCATTTAGAATATGATACATTTGGCTTAATCAGTAAAATGAAGATAATTCTTATCTGCTTTGCAGGGTTTAGTATCAGGATTAATTACTTAATTTTGGATAAGCAATTTGAACATAAAAAACAATACACAAATGAAGGTAAGTCCTAATATTATTAAAACAGAAATCACCAAGCCATTCTGCAAAGAAGCACAGAGATATCTTTTGTTTATTATTCTGTTATTATTGTTGTTATTATGTTTATTATATTATCTTATAATTTCTAGATTTAAAACTATAAGACAGCAAGATCTTTTTTCTTCAAGACCTGATACTCACATAGGTGTTTTCCTTCCCTCACAAAAGTAGCACTGAATATATTATTACCACTAAAATCTGTGATCCCCTAATACAGTGATATTGACCTATTTTATAAAATACTGTGGTTCAGACCACTGAAATATTTTTTTGATTGAGACAGTATTGAGAAGAAATGGTCTCTTTTAAGAATTACTTGCTTAAAATAAAATAAAGAAGAAAGTCAGATATATAGAGATATAGGTAAGCCTTTAAATTCAATGCCCAAAACAAATGAAGAAACAATGCTTTCTATTTTCACTAAGGAATTTCAGATCCTCTGCTATGTACCTATACAAATTCCTGGTCACATGAAAAAAGTACTCAAAAATAATTATTGATTGAAAATCCAACATTCTGTAAGAAGCGAGGAAAGAAAGAACAAACTTAAAACTGATCTCTGTTATTAAATGTTTCAATGAGTCTTCATTTTCCACAGCATAAAATATAAATTTATCAACATTGTACTAAAGTCTTAATCATTGTTTAACTGCCTAATTCTCAAACCTCAATTATTCTTTCATTTAATCAATACTTTGTAAACAATGTTTATTGAGTATCTACTATGTGCCAGGCCCTTTGTTAAGTGTTGGGAATACAAAAGGAGGGAGAGAATTCCTGACAGCCAAAGATTAGACTCCAGCAAGAGATGCAGATAGTTAACTAACAAGTGGTAAATCATGTGAACAGCAGAGTTGTGTCAGGGACTACAAAGGTTATTACAGGATGCAACAGAGGCATAGGACAGAGAACCTAATCTGATGGGTAGAAAAACTGTCCCTACAAAGCTAAGACCTGAAGGAAAACACTTACCCCAGCAAAGTTGCAGAGGCATGAAGAGAAGCAGGTGGCAGTCTGTGTGAATGCTCCATCAGGAAAGGGACCTTGCACAGCAGAGGAAAAGACAGGAAGTAGCTGGAGATGGTGCTACAGGACTAGGCAGGGGCCCAGAGGAGAGAAGCCCCCTACACCATTTTAGTACTTTATCCTAAAAGCCACGAGAAACCATCTGAAGCATTTGAAGCAGTAGTGTGAAATATTCACGTGTGCTTTTAAAAAATAATTCTGAAAAAATAATCATAATTCTGGCTGTTGTATGAAGAGAAATCTGACAGAGAGAGGAATGAAAGCCAGGCTATTATTGTTAGAAGGTGATTGTCTTTGCAATGGCTTAGACTAGAAAAGATGTTAGGGGGAAAAAAAGAAAGGAAGAAGAAAAGGAAGGAGAGAGGAAAGGAGAAATGCAAGAGAGACAAAGGAAAAAAAGAGAAAAGTAACAAAAGCTTTTAAACAATTTCAAAAGTCAAATGACAACCAAGAAAAAATCATTTGTATCACATTAGGCAAAGAGCTAATCCCCACAAGATGTACAGAACTTCTACAAATCAATAAAAGACTAACAACACAATTTTTCCATGAGCAAATGATGAACAGTTTATAGAAGAGGAAATACAAATGTTATAAACATATGAAAATATGCACATAATTAGAGAACTGAAATAATATTTTCAGATCTTTTTCACCTATAATAATGGTAACATTGAGGGCCCATTTGAATGCCAGTTTGAGAGTTTAGGAAAATGTCATCTGACAAAATAGGTAAATAGGATTTCTACTCCAAATTTTATATTCTATTCATGGAAATTTACATTCTACTCTCACATAAAAAACCCTGCAGTAAAGAAATTTCATTTAATTTGGCTTAACCCAGTGTTGCAGGTTGGGTCTTCGAAAAGCAAACTCTAAATTGGGAGATTTGTATGCAGGAAGTTTACTGGGGATTGGTCACCCTCTGAGAGCTGAAGCTGATTATAGGAGGTGCTGCTACACAACCGCACTCACTGTTACAGTGGGGATGACAGGTTCCCTGAACAGCAAAAGCCAAGTGATGGCACTTAACCCTTAGACAAAGAAGGGCATAATTACCATAATGGGCAGCAAAGACAGGATGGCCTGACTCACAGGGATCCGTGGATATGGCAAACAAAAACAGAATTCCTAGGGAAAAGATAAATGAACAACCTATTAGAATAATCTTTAACTTATATAGTTTATATAAATCGTGAATGGATGAGCCAAAGACTGAAGTCAGCCTTTCAAAAATCATGATTCCTTGTCCGATTTGCAGACCTGAGCCAATTCTCAGACCCAGAACTCATTCATTGAAGAGGCTGGGTCTACATTAGGAAGGATTGTAAAATGCCGTGGAAAGTAATTCCCCAAATCTTACCCACAAGGGGCTACTGCAATTCACTCAAGTAATTGATACACTGAAAAAAGAGTATACCTAGATCTTTTGGGGGACTATTGTACACAGAGTCTGAGTTGACACAGATACCTGGTGCCATATCATGGAGATGAGGGAGTAAATAATAGAGTCCAAGCTAAGTCTGTCTCATGGTTTGCACTCACATGAGACAAATAACAATATTAACTCATGGTCTTGACCCAGGGCTATGATCCTACTCCCTGTTGTAATAAAGGCACTTGGACCATCTGGACATTCTACAAAGCGTCACATTCATTCATTATACTGATGATATCATATAAATCAGACCTGATTAGCAAGAAGTGACAAGAATTCTGTAAGACCCCCGTGCTCCAGAAGATGAGAGATAATTGCTACTAAGATTCAAGGGCCTAGCTCATCAGTAAAAATGTTAAGGGCCCAATTGTCTGGGTCATGCTCAACCATCCTTTTCAAATCAAGAGCAATTTATCTACCTCACACATTTTATCACTAAGAAAGAAGCACAGCACTTGGAAGGCCAATTTGGGATTTTAATGCAAAATAGTCTACATTTGAAATAGAGCACCAACCCATTTATTGGGTGATAAAGAAGACTGCTAGATTTATCAATAATTTGGTCCCAGAAAAATTCTTGCTGAACTTTTTTTCCCTTCTCCTATCCTGATTCCTTCTCCCCTCTTCTCCTGAGAGCACTCCCTCAATAAATCACTAACATAAGGAACCCCATCTTAGGTTCTGCTTCTAGGGAAGCAAACCCACATCACTGTGCCTCAGCTCTCTCACCCATAACTACTGTGGAAACCCCTTCATTATGGAGAAGGGAACTGAGGGGTAAAATTAAAGATAAAACGCTTAGAACATGCCTGCACATTAAATGTTCAGTAAGTGTTGAATATGATTAATATTATCCTTCACAAACTTTATGAAAAAAACAGTCTGCACTTGTAAAATTTAATGTAGTCCATTATGACATATTAGAGTCATAATCCCCTGTTAGGCTCAAGAAAAGAAATTATCTATCTTATTGTTTTCTCATAGAGAGGGATAAAAAATGTTGAAGTCCCAGACCCTTTCCACTGTGCAATATAAACCTATCTCCAAATACTAACTATAATATTTGTGTCCCATTTAATCAACATTTATTCCCGTGTAAATGACCCGAACTAATCAAGGGCTAAGATTCCTCCTGATTACAAACTTTCAACAAATTCAATTTTGTCCTAAATAGTTTTGGTTTAAGTATATATGCATAGTGATCTGGAAATGACATAAACAGAGTGAGAACAATAATAAAACAAGTAACATTCTAAAATGCTGTCCAGTTAATCCTAAGAAATAAATCTCAGTACTTAAAAAGGATTACCTTTGAGGGCTGGCTGAGTGACTCAGTTGGTTAAGAGCTCGCTCAAGAGTTTGACCTCTGAGCAACAGCGGTTCGATGCCTGGCCCGAGCTGAGCTGCCGCTGAGCTGCCAACAGGTGGCAGGATGGCTTAGCTAAAAAATAAAATAAATAAAAATAAATAAAAAAGATTACCTTTGAAATTATTCTTCGAAATTAAATTTACCCTTCTCTCAAGAGGCAAGGATTTACACCCATTTATTGAATACTTAATAATATGCCAGGTTTTTCACTTATCTATCCCTGTGTAATAAACTACTCCAAATCAGGAGCTTAAAAGCATACTCATTTTATTTGTTGATTCTGTAAATCAACAGTTTATGCTGGGTTCAGCTAGATTGTTTTCTGCTAGTCTCACATGAAATTACTCTGTGGCTACAGAAGTAAATAGGCCTGATGGGTGTCTTAGTCAATCTGAGCTGCTATATCAAAATTCCATAGGCTGGGTGACTTGAACAACAAACACATATTTTTCACAGTTCTGGAGTCTGGGAGTCCAAGGTCAAGATGCCAGCAGACATGGTTTCTGGTAAGAGCCAGCTTTTTGATTCTTAGATGGGCTATCTTCTCACTGTGTCCTCAAATGGTAGAAGAAACAAGGGATCTCTCTGGGCCCTCTCTGATAAGGGTACCTAACCCATTGATGAGGGTTCCACCCTCATGGCCTAATCACCTCCCAAAAGCCCCGTCACCAACTACCATAACACTGAGCATTAGGATTTAACATATGAATTTGGTGGAGACACAAACATTCCGTTTATAGCAACTGGGCCAGATAGGCTAATATGGCCTCTCTCCTTTATCTAATGGTTGGTGTTGGCTGTCGGTTATGCCTCTCTCTCTACCTATGGTCTCTCATACTCAAGAAACTTGCTTCACATGGAAGTCAAGGAGTTTCAAGAGGATACCAACTAAAGCTCAAGGCCTCTTGATGCTTAAGCATAGAAGCACCACAACATCACTTCAACCACAATTTATTAGTCAAATTAAGTTCGAAACCCAGCCCAGACTCAAGTGCGAGTTGGTTGGGTGGATGGATAGGGGAAAATAGACTTCACCTTTTAATGGAAGGAATGGCAAATCATGTTACAAAGGGGCATAAATACAGTGATACGCAGAATTGATTTGGCTCTCTTTGCAAACAACTATCCACCCTAGGCACTAAGCAGGTATTTTACATATGTTCACTACATTATTTATTCTCATAATAATGGTGTAGGATGAGGATTTTTAGTCCCACTTCACAAATGTAAAAATTCTAGATTAGGTTTAAGGTCTCATTTTTGCTTCTAAATTATTTCAAGTAATCTCTTCTAATCTACCCATATGTTTCAATTGAATTGACCACTTTTTATATTAATCACTCTATAAGTAAAAAGCAGAGTAACAAATAGGGCTTTGTGAACAAAGAAAGATGTAACACTAATTACATATCTTCTCTTTTCCCATCTGTTGTCCCAGGTCAAAATACTGTCACAGTCTGAGCCTTCTTTTATCAGGATGAATGGCTGATGGAATCGAGGTATTGATAACTACTCTACCGTGACTGGGCTGGGCTACGCCCAGTGCCAAGGTTTCAATTCAAAGGAGAGTTGAAGGAGTAAGATTGATCCTTGGTGTCACCTAAATTAGTGTTTTTCCAACTGAAGTTCATGACACATGAATGAGCAGTGAAATCAATTTAGGGAGCTACCACTAGCATTTCTTAAACAAAATTCAATCAATTACAATAGAAAAGAAGCAATTTTTAAAGGCATCACAGAACCCAAAGACTATGACTAGAGCTCAATTATTTAAAAATCTAGTTCCAATAGCGTCTGTCAACCAAACAAGGCTAGCTCTTCACTAGCCCCCTTTGCTCTGTTACATTAGCTAGAGGCTAATTGGTCCTTGGGTCCTGATAATTATTGGCTTAGTTGGTTAATAGTATTTATTTGGCTATAATCTTATTTATTAAGCTTAGCTAAATTCAAGTATTATTAGAAACAAGGCCTCCTTAAAGCCAGTGCAACACTATCTAACAGTCATGGCATTTTAAATCACATCAATATCTAACCTCAAACTTAGTGATAAGATTTATACCAAATTGTTGTTCTAAGGGAGATAAGCACAATATGTTGTTTAAAACTCCTGTGTAGAAGCTGAAACCAACTTTCTTTTATCTTTGCTTTTCAAGATGAGATACCTCAAAGAAAACTTTAAGAAATGTCCTATTCAAGTAAGGAACTAGGAGAATTCATCGAGAAAGAGATGTAAATACAGAATAGCACTCCCCTTCCCTGGAGTTTGTGCTCCTGGCAATCTTAATCACTTTGACCAAAACTAGACCCTGGATATAAGTGTAAAGGGCTCTGAGTAACTCCTAGGTGGCCAAAATGAAAGTCACAAAGTCTAGGTGTTAAAATCCTTTCAGTTTTATTAAAATAAATTTTACCCAATTTATGTTTCTATTGATTTCCCAATCAAACCATATCCATGGCAGAAAATTACTATAAGAAGTTGCTGTTAGAGCAAGCATAGTGATAGCAACAGGAATGGCCACTAACAACCCACTGATTTAAGAGATAAGAAGACTATCAGAACTCTGAGAAGAAGACACCAAAAGCACAGCAGTCTCTGGTTATTTTGTACAAGCACCAATGTAGCCATTTATCATGCTATTTTAAATTGTAGCTTTCATTTTCCAACAGTTTTGGTGTTGGTATGTAGAAATAAAATTTATTTTTATATATTGATTTTGTATCCAACAACATAGATAAAATCACTTATTAATTCTAAAATTTATCTGTAGTTTTTTGGGTTTCATGAATACAATCATGTCATCTGTGCATAATGACTATTTTGCACTTTCTTCCCAATACTTATACCATTTTTCTTTCTTGTCTTATTGTCCTGGCTAAGACCTCACATAAAAAAAAAATAGTGATAGACATCTTGGTTTTTTCCTTATATCAGGGAAAATGCTTTCAATATTTCACTATTACAAATGATTTTAGACACAGGCTTTTTATAAATATACTTTATTAAATTAATAAAGTACCCTTCTCTTCAGTTTCCTGAGAGGCTTTCTTTTTTCTTTTTTTAACCATGGTTGGGTGTTAAATTTTATCAAATGCCTGTTCCTTCCATTTAGATAACTATTTACTTTTTCTCTTTTATTCTGTTATAATGGAGAATTACATCAATTGATATTTCAAATACCAAATTCACCTTGCATTCCTGGAATAAATCGAATTGGATTGTAATATTTTATCTTTTTAGGTTCCTAGATTCTGTTTGCTGATAATTTATTTAAGATTTGTTTCATCTTTGTCTATGAGAGAGATTGGGCTGTAATTTTCCTTTACTATTATGTCTTTGTCAATTTTATATCAAGCATAGGTGGTGATGAGGTTGTAGAGGAAATTATATGCTTATACATGGCTAGTGGGAGTGTAACCACTTTGAAAAATTATCTGGTACTATCTTCTTCTTCTGACCATATACGTAACCTATGATCTCACAATTCTACTCCTAGTGATACACCAAATAGGAATGCATACATATATACACCAGAAGACATGTTCAAGTATGTTTATTACATTATTTGTAAGAGCACAAAAGTGAAAAAACGCTGATGTCCATTAGTAGTAGAATAGGTAAATCAGCAGTGTTATATTCATGTAGTGGGATATTTCACAACAATGAAAAGGAATAAATTGTTGGCTAAATATACCATCATGATTGACTCGCACATAGTGATAACTGACAGAAGCCAGACCAACATAAAAGTATATGCTGAGTGATGCCACTTATATAAAATTCATAAATTGGAAAACAGATCTATGGTGTTAGGAATTCAGGCCACTGATTATCTTTGAGGGGAATAAGGAAGGCACTGAGAGAGGGCATAAGTTGGGGATGGGGGCGCTTCTGAAGGACTAGTAATGTTCTTATTCTTGATGTGGGTGATATTTTCACTTTGTGAAAATTCACAGAGCTATACAGTTATGTATATTTTTCTCTATGCATATTGTACTTCAATAAATATTCTTATAAAGCACGTATTTTGAAGTACAACATATATAAAGAAAAATACACATAAAAATTTTTAAATGTTATTATGTATCTCTACGGTGATCATTTTTACACAGTACAAAATTGGAGATTCTGTTAGTTCCAGTGCTACAAGAAGCAGCTACCAAGACAAGATTAAACATCCAAGGATTTTACCCAGGGAAATGCCTGTGCAAGAGAAATTGAGTAGGAAGCTAGTGAGGGTGGGAGAGTCATATCCACTGTGCAAGTCAGACTTGGGTGAAGGAGGAAAGGAAGGTCGGGTGAAAGTGTCCCGCATCGCAGTGTAGACTATGGAAGGTTTAACAAGGCCATCAGGGAATCCCATGAACCCCAGGAATGGGCCACCCTTATTATCCCTGCCGTGCTAAGATAATGGCAAATGCAGCCAAGATCGGCAAGCCCAGCAGCGGGCTTTTTGATCAATCTCGCTCTCTGTGGTTGAAGTATGAAATACACATTCTTATGGCCACTACAGATGCTCCAGCATGGCATTTTCTTTTTTCTGTTAAAATAGATGTATTTTAATTTTTACTTACTTTTTAAATTATACACAGTAAAATTAACTTATTTTGATGGACATGTCTATGAGTTTTGGCAAATGCATACAGTCATGTAGCCACAACCATTATTTATCAATTTCCTCAACCTAGAAATTCCCTCACGGAACAACTTGAAAGTCATCCTCTCACCCCATCACCAGCCCCTGGTAACCATTAACTTGTAGTCTCTCCCTATAATTTTTCCTTTTCTAGAATATAAGTGGAATCATATGTTATATAGACTGTTGAGTCTTAGTGCATTTGAAGTTAATTCACATTCCTACATGCATCAATATTTGTTTGGGATTTTTTTGTTTTGTTTTTTTTTTAATTTCTGAGTAGTATTCCACTGTATAGATGCACCACACTTGTTTATCCATTCATCAGTTGAGAATATTGGGTAGTTTC